CTCCAAAAATTTTGCGCCTCTTTTTTTTTTTTTCTGGTTCGTGACTGTCGATAGAGACAAGCTTATTTGCGTTATGTGAGTTCTTCTTTAGGTGACAAGGGTCCCGCATGTCACCGATGGACTTGCAAAGTAGTATCCCATCTTTTTTCTGGTATCTTTTTTTTTCTTTTTTTCAGAAGTGACCAACTGTCGTTTCAGAATTCGAATCTTTTGCCAAAAAAAACAAAAACAAGTCGTGTTGAGTCAAAGCTTATTCACGTCTCGTGCTTTCTCCACTAACCATAAAGGTTAAAAGCAGATAGAGATAAAAAAAGTTCAATATGTTTGGTATCTTCACATAGACCGCTTTTAATAAAGTGGTCTACAATCTCTCTCTCTCTCTCTCTCTATATATATATATATATATATATATATAACTAGTGTAGCGAAGAAGACGACAAGTCTGGAATCCAGAAAGAAGAACGACGATCGCGCGAGTCTAATAAAAATCTGACCCGTATCAGTGTCTTCAGTAACACCACTTGTCTCGGTATTCTTCTTCGCTTCACTTGATGGATCTGAAGTAGCAAATCTGCCTTTGCTATCTTGACGACATTGTCATTTTTGCACCGACGTTTGAAAAACATCTCGAACGAGGGCCACTGTTCCATCGTGTATTGCAAACGCCAATTTGAAACGGAACAACAAGAAGTGCCATTTTGCGACAAAATAAATTCGAGTTCTCGGACATGTAGTATCGAAGGAAGGTGTCCAACCCGATCCTCACAAAATTCGAGCAGTTGCAGAATTTTCCATCCCAAATACAGCTAAACAACGTCGTAGCTTTTTGGGGCTTTCCTCCTATTTTCGCCGATTTGTCCAAGAATTCGCAACGATCGTTGCCCCCTTACACGTCTTACTTGATACAACCAAGCCTTTTTATTGGTCTCCAGAATGCCAGTCTGCCTTCAATCAGCTAACAGCTCTCTTGACGGGCGATCCGATTTTATGCCACTTTGACCCCTCACTTCGTACAGAGATCCATACAGACGCCAGCGGCTATGGACTAGGCGCAGTCCTAATACAACGCGAACCACCCTGACCCAAGAGAGTTGTGGCATACGCCAGTCGCACCCTGGCAAAGTGCGAACGTAATTTCACTACAACCGAAAAAGAATGCTTGGCTATTATCTAGGCTATTTATAAGTTTCGACCATACCTGTACGGACGCCATTTTAGTGTTATCACAGATCACCACGCTCTCTGTCGGTTAACGTCGTTGAAAGACGTCTCGGGACGTTTGAAACGTTGGGCTCTTCGCCTCTAGGAGTACAACTCCTCCGTCACTTATAGGTCGGGACGCAAACATCAAGATGCTGACGGCCTCTCACGTTGCCCTTTGCCAACGATTGCTCCTGACGGGGACGAAGATCCGATTACACTCGCTGCTCTCTCTCTCTGGATGCTGTGGCACAACACCAGCTCCAAGACGCCTGCACCCAGACCCTGGTGCAACATATTACAGGTCTTCCTATCTCCAACAACCTCAAGTTCTCCAAACGAGCACGGCATTTTTCTGTCCGAGATAGCCTCTTGTTTCATCGTAACTATTCAGCAGACGGTCAGCGACGATTGTTAGTAGTGCCACGGCAGCTTCGCTCCGAGCTGCTACAGTGCCTCCATAACGACCCAACGTCGGCACATCACGGGGTCTCTAAGACTTGTAATCGTTTACGTGGCCGATATTACTGGCCCGGCATGTGTCCCTTTGTGCAAACATATGTCAGTTCCTGCTTATTGTGCCAACAAAAACAAAAAAACACCTCAGAGTCCGCCGGGTTTGCTCCAACCGATACCTTGGCCCGACAAGCCATTCGAACGAGTCGGAATCGATCTGTATGGCCCTCTACCAAAATCATCTGAGGGAAACCGTGGGGTTGTCGTCGCAATTGACCATCTGACGCGTTACACCGAAACTGCTGCCCTGCCCACCGCAGGTTCTCACGAAGTTGCAAACTTTCTCTTAAACAATATTATACTTTGTCACGGCTCGCCTCAAGAACTACTCAGTGATCGAGGAACGGGTTTTTATCACAACTCGTCGAAGACATTTTGAGAAAATGCAATGTTATTCATCTTATATGAATATATATTTATTTATTTATTTATTTATACTTCAAAGATTTTGTCGGCTATTTGGGTCTAACGCTAGATTTAAATTGATATCAAATCACTATTCAAGTCGATTCATGAAAAAGTGATTTCCATTATGCGAAATTTTTGTATCGCGTGCGACAACATTCCAGACAAAAAAAAAATAAAGGTAAGCACTATAAATGTAAGGGTATCCTACTGCACATTTTCTGCGCTTATAGGAAGAATCCAGAATATCAAACTGCGTTTACGCCAAGAAACAACGACTTCATTTGCTCACTCCAGCCACAAATCATCAAATTAAAAAACATCGTTTACGTTTTTCAGGGCGACGTATTCTTAATTACTTATTCAGCCTGATTTTTGAGGGAGGTATTTTATATTAAAAAAGCCCCCCAAACAAACCGCCGTAATTTCCGTCAAACAGAGTTCAGAAAAAGAAAATAAGGCTGTTAGAAAAAAGAAGAAAGAAACAACAGATACCATTTTGAAGCGTCGCGCGGCACGTTGCTGGGAAACAGACGCCTGCCTATCAACCCAATGGCCATCGGTATCAATTATCGCGGGCAAGAGGGCGCCCCCAGCGTGCGGCAAAGAGAACTAATACACCGTAAAAATAAAGTACAAAACAAAATTCAACACTAAAAGGATATATACATACCTATATATATATGTGTATCTCGGTTTCACAATTTGGGTTTTCTTACTCCTATTTTAAGTTGATTTTCCATTACCGGTCTTCGCGTGCCAGTTTTCTTTTCCTAATTCGGGCATCTGGCAGACGTCTGAAAGTTTGCCATGGAGGCGCTGTGGAACGCGATATCTGCGACAAAGCACAAACCGACAGTAAAGCAATACCAAAATGGCAACAGCCAAAAAGAAACATGCGGTTCAAATGTATTGGTAACAAAAGGCGCTTCTCAATTTGATTATGGGTGCGCTCAAAAAATAAAAATAAAAAAGTGGCAAGGCGCGCACGAAAATTTAGCACGGGTGAAACGTAACGCTCCTTCTGATAAAACCAGTCAGTGCTGGCTGCGCCGAAGCAGCAAAGCTAGTTTCTTTTGGTTCGCTTCAAACGGGGGCATTATGCACTCTCATTTTCTTTTTTTTTCTGCCTTTCGCAAGATATTTTAATGTGATAAATAGAATGAAAAGGGGGTCTGAAATAGATACAACCTGGCAGAGTTTTATATATATATATATATATATATATATATATATATATATATATATATATATATATTCGTGAAACAAGAAGATGCCAAAATTCAAGTAAAAAATATCTTTTCACCTAGATAATTGCTATTTTAACGCATTTTGACGGTAATGTAAAAACTTAAAAAAAAAACTTAGATTTCAAAAATTATATTAGCGTCAAGTCCATAGCCTCATCTTTAAATATATATCGGCTAGAAAAAGAGTAGGTCAAATCAGTTTAATGTGACTACGTGCACTTTCGTTTTTGTAAAACAAATTTGAAAACGTTTTCAGATATTGTATAAGCTTTTTTTATATATAATCTTATATGCATATCAAAATACTTGTCGACTTTTTCTAAAGCCGCGATCCGGTTTCTTTCTTTTTATAGGTTTCTGCCTATCGCGCGTACTACAATGCAACAATAAAAAACAAATATATATTTTTTTCTGCACAAATCTAACCTATATTTATTGTGTATTGGTAAGCAGCGCTCGCGTACGCATCGTTTGAGGATAACATATTTTAATATTGAACAATTTTGGAATGTTATCTAGCCTCAAAATCACGAACAATTCGTCATATGACGTTGTGTATTAGTTGGTCAAGGTATATTTTACGTAGCATACTTGCCAGCTATGTTAGCAAAATAACAGGCTTCCTGTGGGAAGTTAAGTTTGGTTTACTGGCTAATTAACAAACTCACAGGGATGGAGCTCTTTAGCGTTAAGTATATATTTAAAGTCCGTCTACATGTGCTTGTCAGAAGTACAAAAAGGCCGTTAATTTTTGTGCTTATTGTTAAGTTCACAGGCAATATTTCTAAAGCATTCTATTGCGTTAAAAATTCCGCTTCTTCATATAAACGCATGATTACTAATTTTGCATTTAATAAATTCTATATTTGCTCTGACCTTGATAATGTTCTATGTCTCGCAACTTAAGCTAACTTGATGTCAACTTTTGTATGGGCCTCGATTCCATAGTGTTTACGTTCAAAAACACAGAAATGTTTAAAGAAACGCTCAAAAGCGAACTTAGAGAGCTGAACCTGGAAGAATCCACCAAACATGGCATCTGTTAGTGTCTTACTTTAAATGGAGAGGTCGAAGTTCAAAGCTGCGCGAGAAAATACGATTATATATTATGTAAACTTAATCTCAGCTTGCCCTCATCCGCCTTCAGTATTAAAGACGCAAGTGATTTTTTTTTTTCACACATATATATATATGACTTAATCTTATATCCACAAATATATGCATGCCGATATCAGATTGTCAGTTGCAGCGCAATGACACAAACGATAGGCTTGCTGTCTAATCTCATAAGAACAGGCGCCCGAGGCGGCTCTCTGTGTTCGGAATATCCGCAGTTTGGCGAGTTCGTCCGGAAACCTACTTTTCGTGTGTCGCCACTGCCGGCTACCGGATGAGACAGAGCTCAGGGAATCAGACAGTGGCACGTGACACGAGAGAAAGATTCTCCGCATAAATATGCATATTACTAAATCAGAAGAAAAGGGAGGGAAAGGAACACGCAAAACATGACGAGACCACCAGCGCTTGGTTCCTTTCTTCATTTAAACCTATTTCTTCCTTTTTCATGACTTTATGTTCAGAAACGTCGTCACCATCTCACTCGTGGCGTCACCTTCTTCTTTTATTCACCTTTTTGGTCTCCAAGGCGAAAGGACTGTCCGTCCTCCCTCCTCCACGTAATCTTGGGTTCGGGATTTCCGCTGGCCTCGCACCGAAAGCTCACGTTGCTGTTCTCCCGGGCCGTCAAGTTGCGTGCTGTGAAGGCGTCCACGAAGTAGGGAGCCACTGCACACGCGAGAAAAGGGAAATAACGTGTGGAAGCCACAAACTAATGTACAATTTTTTATACGGTAAGTGGTGACTGGTATAAGCTCAATTAACCTCATCCTAAAAGCTTAAGTTCTAGGTTTGAATTACAGTCACCAAACCGATATCTTGACTCCAGGGAGAGAAAGTGTAGAGAGGAGGTGTTTAAGAGGCATCATAATATATTTCCTGAAACAAGAAAAACATAAATAACGGGCAATACGACACAAACGTTAATATTAACGAGACTTCGTGCCGTCTTGTCCAATATTTAGCTTTCTTTTTGTTTCAGGGTTCAGACTATGAATTTGTTTTACTGTATTGTTACGTAGGACCTTGTGTCTCAGTGGTCATTGGCTTACGACACCTTGAAGTTTCACTTTATAGTGACATAGATTCCACCTCACAGATTTCAAGCGGACGGCTTTGAGGGGCAGGCAGTGCGGAGCTGGAACACAACTAACCGTATCGGCGGCTTTATTATTTCTTTTTTTTTTTTGCCGAGCCAGAAAGGCGATTTAAGGGTAAAGACAAAACTAATTATTAAACATTTTTCTGTTTAAATATTTGGAGCGGACTAAGACTGCACAAAAACTCGCGGCTGACTTCCTTTTTTTATTTTTTATATTTGAAGTTTTTTTATTAAACGGCGATTATCAATGCAAGAATGGTGTTGTCAGCAGTCAAAAATTTCACTCTTCACTTCAAATGACCGACAATATTGCGTTTACGCGCATATCCAACTGTACGGCCCATAAAACAGATTACATGCTTTAACGGGCACTGACCATTACTATATAAATACTTGGGACAATATAAAATAAAAATGTTCACACTTGTACACCTCTCAGATTGTTTATAATGATGTGCAGGGTGGGTCTGTACAAAACAATATTATTGGCTGACAATACTTTGGGAGTTTCTGCTAGTGTAAATATGCTTCGTATTTTTTGCACAAAAAACAGCCCCTTCATTCAAGATTACCAACATGAAAAAGAAGGAACAAACCAGATATTATAGGAGTCCCAAAAAGTATTTTATATTTGCTCATTAATTTGTTGATGTGCTCTAACCTAATGTTGAACCCTACAAAATGGGGAATGTTGCACAAGGATTTATTCCAGGGAAAGAAGATAAAAATTCGGAACACACATTGGTTTGTGTGTGCGCTCGAATGAAGCTTTTTTACGCAGGTCTTACCAATCAAATGTCAAAATTAATATACCGCTAAATATCTTCTTTTAGCGTAGTCTAGGCGAAGTCACCATCCCAACGGAAATAAACTTTCCTCTTCAAAGCATTTTTTCTTACTGATATTTTGCAATTGGAATTTGAAAGCGAACCTGGGCACCAAAAATACGCTGCGGTCGGAAAAGCTAGCTTTCCTGCGGACATAGTCTCCATGAGGGAAAGCCCACTTATATTCAGAAGGGGAAGAACCAAAAAAAAAGTTCGCTGAAAGTAGCTTTGCAATCGTCTTACTCCTTTAATAAGCTCACATCTCGACTTTATATTTTAGTTAAAAAATTCTACTAGCCTAAAGTAAAGAAAGCACAAAAACGAGTATTCAATATGCATGCAATTCAATAATAAGCGGTAAAGGCTGCAATAATTTAATTTTCGTTCTTATATAAATAGCACGTGCGCTCTGCTGCGTGAACTCTTGCTTGCGCGAGTTTGGTTTTGATAAGACGACAAAATTAAACATAGTGTTAACTGCATCTAAAGTCACATAAGAGACATTTAATGCAATAAGTACATTGCGTCCCCAAAATAAAACCGAAAACTAAAAAAAAAAAAGAAACCTGAAGCGCTCCATATGTTAAAAAATTTCTCCATAGCTACGACTCCTGGTGGAGCGTTTATGAAACACGACACGATGAGAAACACTTTTCGGTGTGCCTAAGAGATGGCGCAACTGTCAACAGATCGATGGGAGTAGATGGGGGGGAGCGATAGGAGGCTCGACGAATGCGCTTCCTAGCAGCCATATCACGAAGCTCTCGCGATCGAGCTTCACAATTCAGTCGCCCGATGGCGCCAGTGCTCCAGCGGAGCCGTCGAAGATGAATGCCATTTTTTTAGTGAGCTACATACACTTTTGGTTTTATTTTTTTTGTTCGCGTTCATGTATAAGGACGCAGGTAATTTTTATTTTGCAAGTCCTTCAAGCAAGCGATTGAACATTGTATATTTTGATTCTAAAGATTCAACGTGTGTGCGTGTTTAATTTCTGTACTTCACCACCTATATGTAGTCTTGGACACAGTGGAAACAAATTTACTGGATCGTTGCTTTCCGTCGTGCTTTAACGGCGTGAGCACGCTTGACGCTTACGTCAGGCCGAATCGTTGTCAAAAGTAGGAAGCTCAGGAATCAAGGCGAAACAAATAAAACACCTTTTTTGTAGTATCGTTGAAACTTGGGCGAGACGGTTCTGCACTTGTGATAATTAAAAAAAGCGCGAAAATGGACGAATAGATGCACACGGACAAAGCGCGCTGACTTAGAACTGTTTGTTTTTTGTTGGAAATATACGGAATATTGTTGCGATACTCAAAACATTCACAAACATAGACCGTCATCTATTTTTAACACTTGTCGAATTCTCGGAGGAACACGAGTTCCTTGTAATATAAAGCTATAGACGGCACACTGATACAGCTTGCGTCCTCGCACCGTGAAATAAAATACGCCTCTACAATTTCTTGTCGAAACTTTGTTCTATGCCTACACAACATCGTCGTTTTCTCGAAGATTGGACTGCAGCCATACCTATCACAGTGAATTGCCAGCCCCCCCCCCCCCCCCTCCCCCTCCGGTGATGAGTTCACAGGGCGGGCATGTTATTAATATATCTACCGGTTTGCCCGATAGAAACCTTTTTACACGTCAACGGTGTATGGTTCACCACACCCCTTCGCACTTGACGGATTTATCTTTCGTTCGGAAGTTTATTTCGCTTACCTGACCATTTTTCCTTCCTTTATAAACGTTTACACAAAGCCGTTTTAATTTTAGCGGATCCGAGAACACTGCCGGAAAGCTGTCTTTGTCCAACGTTCTTAAAAGCGCTGTGCCACAATGTTAGTGCTTTGCTTAAATAATTTGGGAGTTGGTGTCTCGACCTTTCTGAAGTAAAAAACAAACAACCGCCTTTGCCTGCATGTCCTAGTTTTTATTTTAAAAATGAACAAAGACTGCGGATTTCGGCACCTCTCAACTTCTTCACCACCTTCCGAGTCACGTGCGCTGTGACGTCGATGGGGGTCGTGCGGGGTTCCGATGAAGCTCTCTCTCTAGAGCCACCAGTGAGCAGCGGGAACTCATCCGCTCGTTACTGCGTGACCGCGTGCTGGCGCAGCGCGAATATATGGGGAAAGGAGGAAAGTCTCATCCGAGTCCGGCCATCCCCGTGCGGCTCTGTCCCCGTCCCCCTCCGGCTTCTGGTGGCTGTTCGCGGTAGCAGACAGAGCTGACGGTTTTGTCGACCTCGAATAGATGGCGCCACTAAAACTCCGTTTAATAAAGGTTTTGTCGATGATACCAGGTTTTTAACGCATTTATATTTATGTTGGAACTACAGGGTTTATAGAAACGTTATCTTTTATCGAGCAGGTATTCGCAAAACTTGCTATCTTTCTACAAGACCCCATTGACGTCATGACACGTGGTTCTCATGGCCGCCGCTCGCGGCTGCGTGTCGGGGAATATTCCGATCTTTGCCTCTCGATTACGCGGCGGAATCGCAACATTTCGAAGGAAGAAGTTGTGCTTTCTGTCCTTCGTGACAAGATAAACAATGTCAAAAGTAGAAGATGTAAATTCTTTCAACGTTGAAATCGTTGCACAGCTTCTCTATGTTTGTGAGCCACCTTATGTATATAAGGTTTAACCTCCGGTATTGTTATAGGTTTTTTCTAACGTGTTCATCCTTGTTGCGAAGTCTTCTCAGACAACCTTCTGCTAACCCACTAGAAGGTTTCGCGGATAACCACTTCCAATTAGACTATCCACCTGAGAACCGAAACTTGCTACCATCTTATGCTCGCACGACTTTGATAACGCTGCCTGTAGGCAACTTCACACTATACATCTCTTCACCACATTTGAATGACTAGAATTATATGAAAACACTCCTTTCTTAATTCTTGTGCAGTAAAACAAACACAGGCATTCTCCTTTAAAGTCAAGCTTTAGGTCCAAATACTGCAAGCCGTCTTACTTACACTGTGTACCCTTTTGTGAATTTGAACCCACATAAACGCGCCTTAAACGTTTCTAACATTTATGTTACCATCACCTTCCGACTGACTTCAGAACTTCCCCCCCCCCCCCTGGTCCCCCTGCCCTCCCCTCCCCTCCCCCCGAAACGAAACCAGATAATTATCAAGGTACCAAACAACACAGATCCCTTTCTTCTTCAAGACTGCTCTCGATTCCTTCATCACATTTTGTAAAAAAGATGTCACTAAACCTTGGCGCTACACTCGACCCTATACACACTCCCCGTTTCTGTACAAACTTTTTCTTCCTAAATACAACAAATGTACACTCCAAATAGAACCATTTCAGTTCTAGAAACCTTTCCAGACTTATTCGACGTGCATTTTGAAAAGCGATTATTCCGTAAAACTCAATGCATTTTTACACCGCCTCTAGCAAATCTTTATGTGGTATGGCCATAATAGGGCTCTTCAATATCAAATGATACCGTATCGCATGAGCCTGGGTTGTGTTCCTTCAGAAACCCTACAACACTCTCTGAGTTGTTTACCCGGAATGGGCAACCAGCTCATACGACGCCATGTGCCGCTGCCAAGATCATTTCTGGAAGATTGTCGTCGTAAACGGCATAGCCTTTTGATGCGTCTAAACAGAAAATAACACATTGAGGTGCGACCTTTTTTCCCGTTGTACTGACGACCTTAGTTTGTCGGGCCGGCCCCATTTCTTCACACAGCTGGATTTCCCTTTATTTTAGCTTTCCTAACGACACGTCACCGACCGCTTTGAAATTCTTATGAGTGGCTTCTATAGCTTTTTCTGAAAACACCTCTTCTTGTACCACCGCAGAGACCCCTTTTTATCCGCAACCAGCAGCTTCAAACGTCCTTCAGGACAATAGGAGATAACCTTAGCCGTATTAGGCCTAGCCCTTTGTCTACCTGGCCCATGAAATAATGCCTCCAACCGCTCCAAAGAACACCTTTGTTTATCTCCTTCTTCCGCCTTGACGGCTACATTTCTAACCAATGACAACAGTTCTGAAGGCTTCACCGTTGCTTCACTGGCGAAGTTTGGTCCTTTTCCCAGCACCTGTTTCTACTGTTTTCATCCTGACATTGACTATGGGAGGTTTCTACGTCGAACCATCACGCGGTCTATTCGTTTCATTATGAAATAAATTTGTTTAACTGTCAGTATGGTTTGATTTTATTCATTTGCTCTGGAGGCATGTAAAATTACAGGTTTCGAGTGGAAAAACAAATATTAGGAAAGAATCACATGTAACGAAAAACAAAAGCAAAAAATAACAAATGAAAAATGAAAGACGTTTAAAGACGCACCTTTTGAGGAAGAGGAGGAGAGGGTACGATGGGAAGGCCCTCCTACTCCTCCGCCCCTCCTACTCCTCCGCACCCTCCCCACCTCCTCTCCTCTTCCTTCCCTCCTCCTTCCGCTGAATTTGTTCATGGGTGACGTGACACGAAGTTATGTGACGTCATTTTCACCCGCTAATGTTAACGGGGAAACTAACTTTGTGTTGACGTCACGTGACGTCAACACCAATTGAGTGTTCCATTAAATTTAGTGGAAAACCTGTGACCTCCCATAATGCAACGCGCGTGGTTGCGCCGAGGGCGAAGCCGCTCATCCTGGAAATGGGCGCCTGAGAGCTGCGCTCTAAAATAGGTTAGCAAATTAACTAACACTTTGTTGAATAGATCACGACCAACAATACGAAAAACAGAGCCTGCGAGTCGGCTCTATTCAATGAACAAAATATATGTCAAATCTTCTCGTGCACTCAACAAAATGGTTTAATTTAATGTGCAATAGTTTGGCTCGGTAATATAATATCTAGTGTAAAATTTAGAGCAATTAGTTGTGTGGTTCTTTTCTGAGGGACGTTCGACCTCGTAAGTTTTCCTCCTGTACATCCTCCATGTAGCAAGTTCTCGAATTCGTGCCACGAGTCAAAGTTGCAGTTGAAGAAGCTCTGTTTTCGTTACCATCTAAGTCTATTCCCGAGCAGGTAGAAATAGAAAGGAAACTAATTTTAAGAAACGTCGAATCACGACGTCTTACCGACGACATTGAGGTAGCCGACCTGATTCTTCATCGGTCGGGTGTTCACCTGGCACATGTAATAGCCAGTGTCTTCGGGCTTGACGTCGCGAATCTCGAGCTGCCAGCTTCGCAGGCTGCCGTGACTCACGCGGATCCTGTCGTTCTGTACGATCACGTGAGTGTGCAGTGCCAGCAACGTCTGCTTGTCCACGTTCAGCCACGCCACCTGGAGGAAACGCCGAGAGATAGACTGGGCTCCCTCTCGCCGAATGTCAGGAAGAAGTCGAAGGCTACAATACTCCTGTTTCGCGGTACGTTAACTCCGAGCGCAGGAATCTTATACACACTGAATGCGCACTGATCCAACGCGTAAACACCAGGAGCGCCGTGAAAAAACAGCTTTTGCGAAGTTTGATTGATTCCATCCACTCTCCTAGCGTCCCCGCCTTTTAAACTCGGGTGAAACAAAGCCCTGAAGCAAGCAAGCAAGCCATCGGTCGCGCCTGCGAAGGGCTGTCCCTATTGGTTGGGAAAACTGAAATGATCCTACAATTTGCTCGACTTGGCGTTCACCAGAAGCAGAGTCTTCTCTTTCGTTGTAACTAAACCTCGCGCGTGTGCAAAGCGCGAGCCAAGGCTGACACCTGAAATCACCATATGAAATGATGATGGCATATTTTACATTGGATCTTTGGTTGGGTTTCTCTTTTTCCGTGGCAGCCTAGAGGTAATGTTAACGCGTAATACAAAAACATAACGGATGAATTTTAATAAATATGCCTTATAAAGGGTGGTCACAGGTCGCCAATATTGTAACTTAGTGTACCCTGGCCTTGAAGGGCATGAATTGTTGTTAGTTTATGATTGTCCCTTACGAGCGGAAGTAACTTACCACAGCAATATTGTAAGTACGCTTTGAAACCACAGAGGCATGTCAAAGTTATTTTCATCTCAAGATTTTTTGGGCTGTGCACTCTTCGTAGAATAAGCATCTTTTTTTTTTTAAGAAAAAACGCGCAAAAAGTAGTTTTCCCACATTTTGTTTGGAAGTTTCTTAGTACTTGGAATTTATGTGCCGGTCGAAAGATATCGTGTTATAATTTTGGTTTGCGATATTAAGAGAATTCGCATGGGAGTGTGCATTCTATAAAAATGGACGTTGATGTTAAGGTGCTATTTGCCCAGTTGATTTGTTTTGTCATATGTTGATTTGATCTGTATTACGAATGACAGTGCTTGTATGTAACAGCAGAACCGTGGAGCTTCTTGTATAGCCTACTTCCCTGACTGTGATGCCGAACCTTTCAGGCGGAATAGAATAATATTATATTACAATACATTTAATAATTATGTTCAATTTTTTACTAGTTATTCTTGACTTCCTCTTTTATATAGTTCGCAGTTTCCAGATATGTGGCTCATTGTGAGTTTTTTTAAATTATTTTCCTTACAAACTTTAGAAAAGACAGTGCATAATTTTTACCGTGTAGTTTCCTAGGTTCTCAACGACGCACTTCAAAGCCGCATTGCGACCTGCGGCCACCGTCAAACTTGGAATGGGCTCCGCAAAGTAGGGCTCGTCCTTGTGAACAGTCACCTCTGCAAAGAAATAAAACAACAGATATTGAACGCAAAAATTTCTAAACTTTTTTAACAGCCAGTTGAGAAGTAAGTAAATCACAACCTCTGAAATAACAACCCTCATTTAAAACCATTTGTATCCAGCAAAGCTTCTTTCCTGATTATACTGTCGTGACATTTGTTCACAGCAATCTGTAACGTTGCCAGATGGAAATACCGCCATCTGAGAAAAACGTTTCCTTGTTTGGTGGAGACGGGCATTATGAAAATGCCACCTGATTACGACGCCGTGTGATCAAAGGTCAAGTAACGACTAATATCGTTATAGTCTAAAAATATAATATTTTGTTGCGGCTCACTAACCCAACTGCGCACAAAAGTTCTACGTCGATAACTTATTTGCCAGCCTTTCGACCTGGATTAGTATGGTTTCATCTAGTGAAAAACGTGAATACCGTTTGAACGATGTATAAACAAGTTAAGTAACAAAATTAAACAAAATTCACAGGAGAACTTACCCCAAACGATTATCAATAGTTGTTGTCCTTTTCTCAATAAAAATGTCTGAACTGCAAGTTTTCTTTTCACTTAGTTTACACTTTTTGGTTGTTATATTTGTGCGGTCAAACTGATTTTTGTTTTACTCCAACAAAACATTACGAAGTCATGAAATTACGTAATATTGTTTTATTTCTTTATTTTTAGTGCAAAAATCCGACGTCACGGGCTCAAAAGAGTTTCTTAACTCAAAAACTTGAGAAAATAAATACACCGCAACTGTAAGTCAAGCAAGCACAAAACATACGAAGTTCTTCAGGGCCACAACAGACCAATGAGTTTTACCTTACACACATACACAACCAACAAACAAAAAAGCAAACATTAAACAGAAAAGCAAACCTCTCCTAAGACCATTCAGTTTCGTTTGAATGCTCGGCCATTGGCTTTCGGAGAGAAGTGAAAAATAGGACGGTATGTCCTCAATTGACTTGCAAATGCATTTCCCTCCACCGTTGATGGAACGTAAACTCGAAACACAACAAACTCTTATTCTTAGCTATATGATAGAAACAAACACAAATACACTGGGGCTATGATCGATGTAGGTTGCAGTCTCGGAGACTAAAACCTAACCCAGAAGTGAATTAATAAACGGAGTCCAAGCAGAAAGTTGCCGGTGTCTTTCGTGAAAATATAACAAGTCACCAAGATCAAGCTACAAGATCTGTTTCAACAAAAGTACCAGGCAATAAACGACGCTAAGAATTCCGGCAGCCAACAGATAAAGCGTGAAGAATAAAGTAGCTAGGAAAGCTGTTATCGAAATGCGAACGAACCCGGAAAGAATTTTCGTTAGGGTCGTGACACAGAGACGGATTTAGTTCGGTCGTTCATGGGCTTAGCCTGAAACCCCGCAGTGTTCGCGAAGATGGACATTTTGCGTTTGAGTTGAGAGAACCACAACGATCACAAACAAACAAAATTAGAAACAACCTTGCAAAGTCAGATTCGCCGAGCCCGCTCAATAAGAGCAAAACGTCGACTTAGAGCGTCGCAGATGTGATGCGACTTGTATTTGTTTAGTTTTGATAGTGTTCATAACTTGCTTATAGTTATTTTTGTTCAAAAAAAATAAAGGAGAGTGGGACGACAACACAATAAGAAAGATAAGGAAAGGCGGGGTTAAGCCGTTCAGGTTCTACTCAAAAGAACACCAGTTCTCTTTATCGCAAAACCAACTTTCCGGGTGTTTCTTTTTTAAAGACGAAAATTTAATCCTTTCAAGCGTGAAGTATATACGACGAAGTAGATTGAAATGCTGGCGCAAGTGGTAGTGTCACATTCTTGGATAAGTTTATATTAATGTATTTACGAAATGATGGTTGAATATGACAGAAACTCAGGAAATTTAGGTCAAAAGCAGTCAGCGCTAATTCACGGTACAAATCTGTGAAGCTTTATTTGTGCTCCAGACATAACGTGCTTAGGCAAATAATTATACGCTTCATTACTTTATCATCAAGCCCAATGTTTTACATAGAAACAGAGTTAAGTGTTATGAAATTTTGTTCCGAAATGTCCACACGTTCACAAGTTTTTCATACGTATTCACTGTCAAACGCCTTATGCCAGACGCCATTACTGTTTTATTTTTATAGTCTGAATTTTTATATGCAAAAGGGTTTGTTTAAGAAAGAAAATCAACCTAAAACGTCAAATAACCTAGATCATGCTAGTTACCTTTTCAGACTCAAGGACAAATACACGTATAGTGACGCTTGGTTACAAAACCTTGGAGATAAGGCACGGTCATCCCTGCGTCAATAACTGGAAGGGCAACGCGCAGCAGAAGAATTCACCAACCGACAGCGGAACAATTCCATAAAAATGAATGAAACAAGCAGAAAAGAAAGCAACTAAAGTATCATCGAACATTTTCTAAAAATGCAAACTCCGCGATTTGGGAGCGACGTGAGATGGCCTTTTAATAATTGAGTAGCCAACAACAGGCTGCTCTAGCTACCCCTGGAAAACTAGGAGGGATGACGGCGGAAGGCGCTACATCATCGGAGGCGGAACAAAAACAAGATCTAGAGAAAAAAACATAAAGTCAGAAGAAATGATGCGGGAAGAAGAGATGATCGTAAAGAAAGGAAATTTTCAGCTCACTGGCGACTCGTAGCTTCTCTGCGAGACAGGCTGAATAATTTATCGGACAGAGCATTACAAAGCTCGATAGATCACGGGAACGGAGAGGAGAAGAAAAGGGACTGGCGGTATGTGGGCGGAAGAGTTGCCGCCGTCGCCGCGACTTCTTCGGACAAGGAGTTGCAAAATCCTTCGCCACTGAATCACAACTCGAGCCGATCTCGGTATCTGGAGAAAGAAGTCCAAAGAAAGGAATGAAAAATTTAATTGTGGCTTTACTCTGCAGAGTCTTTAAAATCGTAATGCAAGTTGGAGAAAAATTTGTGCGTATAAAAATGTTCATCGCTAACTTTATCTTTTTGCTGATATCCGGTCGGGGCTTACATTTGCCGTGACTATGAGGCACACATAGATACAGATGCACAAAGCTCATAGGTCAAACTATCTTTTGATAAATAGTGGAAATATGCCGGTGGAAAAATGCTTAAGTGCAGCAGGGCACTTAAATTTTAGGGGTGTTTTTGGCTTACGTAAATACCAAATTTAAAACATGTTTCGCCATTGTTTCTAAAGGAGATTGGGAATATAATAAACGAAGAAATAGACAACTCATATTTCTAAGTCACGTCTTACATAAATTCTAACGTTCTTTGTTTATATTCTTTCGAACTTTCAAAAAAGAAAGAGAAACACTTTAAAACTCCAACTCCTCGCCACCATTTGAGCGAGCTGTAATGAGTGTTATATTGAAGATTATTATAACAAATGGCTAACCAGAAGCGTGTTAAGCTCGGTAATACTAGAGTAGCTCAATTTGTATACAAAATAATTTTAGACATATCTAGAATACTACACGAATAACGATACCACTGAACCGAATATTTTATTTTTGCAATCACCGTGTTCTGGTTTTGTTATTGCTTTAAGCATTATCTCCTGATCTTATTAAGGTCGGTGAACATTTTGCCAATGCATAGAAAATAAGTATGTCTTAAGTATGGCTTTCCCTGTAAATTGGTGCACAGTGACTTCATAGCCTGCCTGTATAATAAAACAAGATATATATATACCTTTTTTTTAAATAACTTGCTCATGATATGATTATGGCATAGCATCGGAATAACTATAACCAGTAAAAAATACTTGACCACTTTCCGCCTGTGCTAGTCATTGATTTCTTTCATGTCTTGATTCACTACAGTGCGATTCCATGTCAGTTCATGCAACGACGGTTTGGGTCACTTTTTTTTAAATATTTTTACAAAAATATATTAATAAGCCATTGTCTTGGGAAAAATACTTCGGTATATATGAACGTGCAGCTAATTTTTTTTTATAGATACAAACTTGGGAAGCTTGAGTCGTGAAAAAGGACACGATTTTGCAGTATAGTTTGCACCAGCGTTCATTTAGAAAAAAAGCCTGCAGAGCTTTATATGTGTCTGTTTATTATACAAACGTTTCGCAACACGTGCAGAAATCAATATTAAATTACATCCAAAATTGATATAAATAACAAATTACGAAATACGTCAAGAAAGCCTAATAAATTAAAGTATTCAGAGGGTGCTTCGTATTGAAAGACTGTTGTAAACACTAAGTGAAATATACCAATTTTCGGATAGTTACCGGGAGCTTAAAATGACATAAAAATTATTTTATACCATTCGTTGTTGTTTTGTTGTTAATTAGGAAATTCTGCTGATTTCCCTAAATCCGTAAACATTGCGCAGATATATTTATAAAAAAAAACCGTGTTGGGTAAAGTGTATTTAAAAAGTACTTGAGGTAAAGTACAAACTAAATGAGAAGTCATGCCCTTCAAGTAGACAAGCAAGTACACCGGGAGCATTGTAATTAAAGTAAATTACCATAAATACAGTATATTTTTACGGGTACTTTTTTAACACAATCTTTCTTGATGCTCTTTCATTCTCCTATACAATGGTTTGTTGTTGTTTTTGTTGTTGTTTCTTAAATAGGTATGCTTTGATCCAGGAGTACTTAAGGGTGCATCTGTTTTTTTTTCTTCTTTGAAAATGGCCGCGAACATTAGATAAAGTCAACTGGCCGCATAGTAGTTATTTTCGGAAATGGCACCGAATTCGGAAGTCCCTCTGACCTTCTGAATTCGACGCCGATTGCATAGGCTTGCCACCCAAGGGGGTTAAACGAACTAGGAGAGAGCAGGACCTTTGCCCCGCAGATTCCGGAAGAAATATTCTTGTGGAGGAGTGGTATCTCCTAATATGTTTAACCTTCTCGCATGCGCTTGTCGAGAGAGAAGTAGTCAGACTTTAAAATTCTGCGGAAAAGCCGCCCGCAGTACAAACGGAGCAATGCGTAGTTTGCTCGCGTCTTCCGTGAGATTGAACATCCCTCCCATAGAGTTGAAAAAGCATCATTTTGTAACACAAATTTGACGAGACCAAATTTTGGGAATATACTTTAAAGCCAGAAGTTGTACTTTCTCCAAAAAGTAGCAGAAAAAATACTTTAGGTAAACAACAAGTGCATACACAGAGGATTTACTTCGAGCAAACTACAAATTTTTTCAACCTCATGGAAGTAGTACTTTAAGTAAATTGTGCTTCCCAACACAAAAAAAAAAAAAAAAACTTTATTTTCCTTTAAAAAATGTTAACCTATTTTTTCTAAGGTGTACTAAGGTGTGACGTCAAAATAGTGAGTCACATTTAACCTGAAAACAAGAATAGCGACACCAAATATTTCATAAAAACGGACCGACTTGTCTCCGTTATGGGGGCTCTGCCGCACAACGTCGCGCCCGGGGATGAGGTTTTTGGAAGCGACTCAGGCTAAAGAGCAGATTTCTACTGTAGGCAGTGGAACACGATGCTCGTAGCTCTTCCATAGCTTAGCTTTAGCTTTGTGTTTTTTCCTCCTCTCCTCCCTCCTGTCCCATTTTTCACTTTTTTTTTTTTCATTTTGCCCGTAATTAAAGACAATGTTAGGAGCTCGTGCTAGCCGCGCTCTGCCATCGCCTCCCCTCTTCACTCGAAGCCCTGCACCTATACACAGATAAAACAGAGCATGATCAATATATGGACTTGCACCGCGCACCTGCACGGGAGCATGGGTGCGACTCCTGACGCCACTGGACGAACAAAATAGGTTTTAAGAAAAGTCCCAAGCACGAGGCGTGTGCGCGCATTTTTCAATTGAAATTTCGGTGGCTTCTTACGGCGTTATGAAATACATCTAGAAAATTATTTCCTAAAGGGGACGTCAAGCGCCTTTGCCTCGGAAGCACTTCGCAGCACTAAGCAACACGATTTATTTTTTACGTCAGTGTGAAATGTGCATTAAGATGCAGAATGTCTCATTGGAGTCGCTTGACCTTGGCGAGGACGAGGAGATTTGTTTCGCGTTATGTGATGCAGGCAAACTCGTCAAAATGGTTTAAGACCCTTTGGTCTTGGTACAGGAGTTTTAATCATAGAGCGAGAAGTTCATGTAGCATTCTTACATTCGTGATGTTTAATAAAGGTTAACACAAGACATCAAATAAATTTCAACACTAAAAACGGTAATTTTTCACTATGAATTTGCTGAGAATCAGACGGTTATCTACCCAGCCGAAGTGAAAAATATTCAATTAGAAATAAAAAGAAAAAACTCAAGTTCGTCTTGGTCAGCGGCGTGGCACTGACGAATCGCAGCAGGCAGCGAAGTACCGCTTTCTTCGTCCTCCCTAGTCCCACCGTCTTGCATAGCCCCCCTCCCCCCCCCCCCCCCCAAACCCTACACACACACAGAACGAACTTAAGATCCTAGACTGATTAAGTTATTGTCACTGCAAAAAACTGTTGAACTGCTCCGGTATAAAGTGACAGATGTAAACGTGCTCTACCTGTCCGCAGAGCAGGTTAGGAATTTCCGTGCGGTGAAGCAAGCAGAATGGGCGACGGTGAAGCCTGTCTAATTCATCCAGTCGTTTCGTCTGTGGAATACCTCACACGCAACTGAAGACTTCGAGATTTTGTAGGCATAGCTGGCCGCGCATGACCAATGTGCTTATCGTTTCGCAGTTATTTGTGGACTAAATAATGGTATTTCAAAACACGTTTCTTTTTTAGGAAGATATAGATACCCGATTTTGAATTAAATGGTTTTAAAATTTAATATAAACGCACAAAGTACCACTCAAAACGCCTGGAACTAAGCTGCAGAGACCACAATAACGGAGACAAGTCGGTTTATATTTAGGCAAGGTTTGATATCGCTCTTGTTTTGAGGTGAAACGTTACTCAATATTTTGGGTTCCGAACCAAGTACACCTTAGTGAGAATAGGGTAGATTTCTTAAGAAAAATAAACTGAGGTGTCCTTTTCATCTAAATATTTATGCGTATTATGACACATTTTAAGAAATCAGCAATATTTTCTAATTCACACCAAAAGAACAACAAATGGTATACAACAAACTTTTATATTATTTTAAGCTTTGTGTAACAATGCACATTTTAGTATATTTTTACAAGTATTTACAAAAATCGTGTAAATAAAAATAATTTCTTCATGTGTGTGAAAATTCGGCTATTCTTACGTATTTTGTAATTTATTGTTCATAACTATTTCAGATATAATTTAATATTCTTTTCTGAAATCGTTACGGAACATTTGTTTAATAAACAAAAACATCTATAATTCCGTAAGTGATTCTGTTTTAAAACTTTACGGAGGCGCTAACTATCATGACAAATATTGTCATATTGTATGAATCGAGCTACTCAAATTCGTACTTTTATCTGTGCAAGACGAATTTGATACGGCGTTCACAAATATCAGGATATTTCTTCCAGGGACATGGCTCACATATATTATTTTTCCAGAAATTAAAAAAAAATATATGACCCAAACTTTCATTGCGTAAACTGACATGGAATCACTCGACTATACTTTTGCTGACTGTTGGTACGTGTAGTACTAAAGTTCCAAACTATATTAGACGTCTTTCAGCAATTTCATAATCTACAACTAGACCAAACAAAACTGGCGTCACGAGAAACGTGTGTTATCAGTGGCAATAAATACCACCTTGTTTTGTAATAGCAACATTGATTATCACAATTAAGTATCCATTATACCACTCAGCCTACTTACATCACCATTCACACATTTTGGTGTAAATGACAGTGTAAATGGTGTAAGATTAGCAATATTAATAGGAACATAACAGAAAAGTGTTATGTTCTTATTAGTATATTGTTAATATTACAAAATTTACACCATCATTGACACCAAAATTATTAGCTTTTTGCATCATGTAATGTCTTTTGTGTAGTTTTATGTTTATACAACCACCATTCTTTATCAGCCGAATAATTACAAGCTACGTGAATTATTGTGCTTACCTCCCGCCCCTTCCAAACTAGAATTTAAAAAAAATCTTCTGAAGTCTTTGATACGTTACCGACGTTTTGCTAGGAGACTTTGCTCTTCTCGTATATTCTATAGGGCAGCTAAGCTGCAAGTTGACATCCCGTAAAAGCGCAGCGCTTAATCGAAGCGTGTTCTAAGCCTTTCTCGTGACGTAGGACTGCCTGTCTAGGGCGTCGCTTTCCTTTATTTTCGCTGGGCTCCTGAACGAAACGATGTTTCCTCTTCTTCCACTGCCTCAGGTCTCGGTGAGGCTTTCGGAGAATCGCCGAGCTCGTCCGTGACCCCGAATTGGACTGGGACGCCGTCGTCAGCTCCGAACCTGCACGAACGATGGTACCACCCGAGGGAAGCATGAAATATACAGATTAGAGCATGGTAAGTAACAAAGAATGCTCTTTACGATATTGTAGTCTCAAACGCCAAGTTAGCTCTTAAAACTTTCGGTGTTATACTTCGTTTCAGCTTCGGTCCAGACGCAGCCAAAGCTACAACCGCGAGCTCCGGGCTTTCAGCATCCCTGCCAAGCACGCGCGCTCGCGCAGTGCAAGCACTGTTCTGGGCCACATGCTCGCGCTTGTAGCATCGGCTGCGTCTGGACCGAAGCTGAAACAAAGTATAGTAAATGCAAACAATATTCACAAAATTTTGACAGCGTCGCTCGTTTAAAAACAAAAAATCAAATATACTCCCTCAAAACACTTTGGAGCTTTAGTATCGTTTACTTGTCACGTTACAATTGTGTCTAGAATTTCCATTGAGTAGTGCGCCTGCCTATTGATAACGTTTGACTAATAAAAAAATTGGTGAAAACAATATTCGTTTACCCCACATAATATACCACAAAAAAAGTATTTCAAGCGTATTATATGCTCAAAATGGCACTGTGTTCAAACGCAATATATATATAAAAAAACAACTTGTTTACTTTTTTTTTTTAGTTTAGAAGATTGGTTTTGTTTTCACTTAGAGAAACACTTTTTTTTATTAGAACTAGATTGATGAGAGGAATGTTTTGTCATTCCTAAAAGTGGTTATCGCATGGTACGCTCGTTCTTTTTTTTTTTTTTTTCTGAAACCCGTTCTATATTGTTTAAGACAAGAGCGTTGACTCTCTGACGTTAGTCTCGCAGCGGAGAGGCGAAGCAAGGCAAACACGCGCGGCCACCTCGAGCATGCAGATACAGCCATAGAATTGTTGCCCCGCTCGCTTCACGCTTTCGAACTCCGTTCCACGCCACAGGCACGCCTTTTGTTCCCAGCGTTTCAGGCGTACGCAGATGGCCCTGTGGGCGGACTGTCAGTTTAAAGCTCTGAAAAGGACGCCCGACCAATGACCAGCTCAGTCGGCCACTGTTCACTGACAGGCGACGGACAGTTGACGACAACTTAATAGTTATCCGGCATCAATTCTAGCCCGGCGGCATCGGCGGCAGCGACCAGCGCCATCTGGAAATGACACGCCACAACAAGGGACTCATTGAGGATGCAGCCGTTCGCATTAAACCCCCGACGCAATCCCCACCGAAACCGTCCGAGTTGATTTTCACGACTGTATGTAACTTTCCAGCGCCGTTATTTTTTTCTTCTTTTTTATAGGTAAACAAACAGCGAGCGGTTTATTTGAGCGACTTGCCTACGAATTTGTTTTTGGTTTTAGAGAGCGTGGCGGGTGAAATTAACGAAACGGTGTGGGATTTCGGAGAGGCTTGTGTGACGCGGTAAAAGAGCCTCGCTGAAACTGTTAATTTATTCCTATTTTGGGGTGAATGAACCGGTGAAGCGGTTAAATGGATAATAGTGGAACTTCAATAGTTAATGTAGCCGCTTCAAAACGTGTCTGGTGGTGTTTAGCATGTCGATAAACCACTCTGAGTGTTTTTTTTTTTTTTTTAATTTTGATTTTATTCAATTTGAGTCATCTTGACGTCACGCATGAAACCACCGTTTTAAAGGTGCCCCGATGGGGTCTAAGATCGTAAAAATATGAAGCTATCTTACCTTCTGGCTCTATGCATCCTATAAATTCATAAATAATAACGATGCGCGGCCAAATTTTCAATTTAAAAGCAATCAAAGATCGAATTTTTGTCCGGTGATGGGAGAAGCATTGTTCTGGCAGCCAGGACGACATCTGACCAAGTTTTACAGCGGAGCTGTTAAGGATTAGGTTTTCAAGGATCGCGTCCCGCGGATTACAAATGATGACACCGAACTCTAGACAGCTACCGCCATTTATGAGCAACGGCAGCAACCAGAGAACTGGTTGCCGGTGTCACTCATAGATGTCGGCAACCTTTGTTTAGAGGAACAATAGCGGGAGCGGAACGAGCGGCGATGTGCGCAGCAGCATGAATAGTTCCGCAACCGCCGCGAAGCCGCTATCGCCACAAGTTCCACTACGTCGAGCGCTTCAGATTCCCTTGCGAAAGAAGAGCAGATTGCTCACCTGGAAAGCCACTACGAAAAACAGAAGCTACAGCTCCTCTTCTTCCTTCGCAAAAAAAAAAAAAAACTAAAAGTTTTTTTGTTTTTTTTTTGAGCAGTGACGTGTTTTATTGTCAGCTCTCGAGCGTTCCCTCGTTGGCTTGAATCATAGTCTGGGCTGTAGGGGCAACGAGCCGCGCACCTTCGAGGTATCACTCCCCGCTTCCACCGGTGGGAGGCGCGAGGATCTTTCGCTTGCTATTGGCTGACAGTGGTCTTAGTTTCGAAACATGCTCCTTTCATCGCTGGAGATGGCCTCGGTGTGTTTCGATCTTTGATTGCTTGTTTAATAGGGAAATAAACCGCTTATCCTCACGACTTAACAACTTCTAGGATCCTTAGAGCCAGCAGAGTGAGATATCGCCATATTCAGGCGATCTTAGAAACCTCGTCAGGGAAACTTTAAGAATAACACATATTTCAAGATCAAGACAATAAATTCATGTTCTAGGAAATCGGTTCGACTCACGTTAACATACTGAACGCTCTTCAACACCAGCTGGGTGAATGAAAAGAGGTTTTTTTTTAATCTAAATATTTTAGCGTGGTATAAAACTGGGCAGATCAGGAAGGCAGAGTACGCCCTAGTACACTCTCAGAAAAAAAGGTGTATTATTACACCCCTTGTCCCATATAATACACCCCAAAACTTCAATTCGACGTACAGCGCCCCATAATCGAACAGGCGGCCTTAAACTGTGCGAGCGGCTTGATAGCCATGAGGTACAACTTATTAAGATAGCTGATGTGCGTAATATCGCATACAAAAAATATTATCGAACTTTCCTTGGCCGTACTGCGAAAGCTCCATATTTTCTTTCTGTGGTTTTTGATACGTACTTTAGCAATTTAATAAGCTGCATCGCACCGTTATCAAGCCCCTGGTAAAATTTGGTTCCCTTCAGTTCGACTATAGGGCGCTGTACGTCAAAATGAAGTTTTGGGGTGTATTATATGGGACGAAAGGGCGTAAGGTGATACCCTTTTTTTTTAGAGTGTAAACCCTCACTTAATACGAACACTCTGTTGTTCTTGTTGTTTTCACGTATAGCGTAGGGTTACGCAAACGGACTGATGCTTTCGATCACTCCTTACGCTAATACTGTAGAAAAATTAAAGTTATCTTATTCCCGAGAATAAAGTTGGAAGACAGCTGAATGTTGACCGTGTCATGAACAGCTGTAGAAAAGAAAAAAAGAAAATAGATGGTGCTATGGAGAATTCGGCAGCTTTGAAATGGCGCCGGCTACTCCAAAACTTGAAAGTGATATGAAATAAAACCTAAAAAGATAATGATTTGAAAAAGAAGATTAAAAAACAGCTCTAAATGTACGCTTGCGTTTTTTTTTTTTTTTTTTTTTGTTTTATTTAGATTGGGAGTCACGTTACATTTCGCTAAATTTGGCGGTACTAATCGTCGTGACAACTCAAAATTCCCGCTACTTTTAGAGGAGAGAAGCTCCCCAGTTTATCAAAACGTAAAGCGACTTTTACCTTCGAGGCTATACAACGCAAGAAATGCATCATTGAATGAGCAATCGTTTCAATTTAGTTCCAAGATACCAAGGAGTTGTTTTGTGGGAGTTAAGGACGTTTTGCTTATGATTATAATGCAATTGAATGCAAACGGGCAAGGCGGATCTTTTCCGGACCAGGCGGATTATTTCGGTCGCTCACCAGTCACCTAGCTGTGTTTGGAGATTTGTGTTTGTCCTTCGTCCCTCTTGTTCCCCTTCTCCAGGGATTATTTTCGTCGTTTCGCTTATGAAGTGACGTCACGTTACACGACGTCGCAGTGTCTAGTTCTGGCGTTACGTGAAGTCAGCTTTTTGCGCAAAATTATATCGGCCAAATCTATCCCCAGACGGATGGATGGACGGACGGACAGACGATTTTGTCTGAGAATAAAGGACTTGGTTAAAACAAAAAAACCTTCATACCATCAGTGAAATTTGCAATGTCAGACGTTAGGGAGTGACCTTAATTTTTGTTTACTGTTACGTGGTGGACTATTTATAATTTATACTATGCGAGGGCAGTCGGTGCCCGAAGAGTATGAAGTGGTGGTCCGGCTGCGAATGCAGAATATAATAGGCAGTCTGCCAACATTGTCTGACGTGTGTCTCTTCCTTTTAAAACAGTCCGGTCACACTGATCGCACACAAATAGGCAACATCCTTTGCCTTCAAAGTCCTGTAATGCATGAAATCAAGTATTTAAGATGTGATAATTTAAATTTCTTTAGAAAACTATATACAGTCGTGTGGAGTACATATGTCATGTGGCATGAAGATTATATATATATGAAAGGTCAGGTGACGTTATGTCACGTGACGCCAATTTTGCCACTAAATTTAGCGGGGAAGCTACGTTGGTGTACGACTCATGCGGGACATCAATTTCCCCGCCAAATTAGCGGGAAAACTAAATTGGCGTGTGTGTGTGTCGTGATCCTCAGATCCCGTGACGTTCGGTCACGCGACATCAGAAATTCCCCTGTAACTGTAGCGGGGGGAACTGAATTCATGTATACGTCACGTGAAATCAATTTCCCCGCTAAATGTAGTGGGAAAAACACAGACAAACTTTTTTTCTGGATTGGAGGATAGCGTTAAAAACACTTTCATGCTTTAGAACTGTTTGCAGACACGATGCAGGCTTATACATACAGTGGAATCTCTTTACTTTGAAACCGAGGGGGACCAGAACTTTGTTTGAATAATGCAAAGTTAGAATTACCGGCAGTTTCCTTTTCTATAGAAACACATACGACTGGAGCTGCATGTTAGTTCGAATTATCTGCGAGTTTGAATTAACCGACTTTGAATTAGCGAGATTCCACTGTATATGATGCAAACCTGCCTCGAACTTGCTCGAGGCGCCGATATAATGCTGTCATTATATCTGCGTCGAATACCGCGTCCTTGGTATACAATGATTGAGCACTGTGACAGCGGCGTTTATGGGCGAGCTGTGAACCCAACAAGCATGCCGTCAATCAATGCGAACTACAGAAGACAACGCTTGCCCGTGACGTCACAGCTGATACTGGCCGAGGAGGGTGAACTTCTCAGGCGTCTGCTAAGAGAAGAACGCGGAGTCAGCTCAATATTAACACTCACCCCGTAGCGGCCGTACTTCGAGTGCCCCGAGCTGCGACAGCCTCGGTGTGGAGTCCACGACGCACGCGTACAAGCCAGCGTCGGACGTCCGTACTTGGGCGATGCGCAGCAGCCACGAGTTGGGCCTCGTGTGCTCGGCGCGGACTCGCTCGTCGGGGCTCAGCACCCGAGTCTCGAAAACTAGCATTTCCCCGGACTCGGCTCGGTACCAGGATACCTGCGGAAGAAAAGGTTTCCGGTGTGAAACCGACGACAAAGAGTCCCTGCGTACTGTTGGCAGGAGGGTAAAAGGTGATACGTTAAAATGCGCCAATTGCTAGGTTATAACGTGCTCTAATTTTGTACTTTCATAAGACAGAGGACACTGTTATTGCGTTTTTATTTATGAATTGTACATTAAACTTTTTTATTGTATGCAGAGTACTGATAAAGCTTAATGTCGCCGCTCGGTGACCAAAATATTGATCCATCGCCGGCTACTCAAATCTAAATTGGTCACTTCAACGGATAAAATGTTTTACTGGATAGTAGTAGGGGAGCCAAACTTTTACCACGTATTTTGACCGGTAGGCCCAGGATTAGCGAAAAAGCGGACAAAATGGGCCATTTTGTGGGGGCGTGAGGTTTAGGCAAGGCTGTGCAGCTTATTTGGCAACTGGGTCGAAGACTCCAAGTAAACTAAAAGTATGCTTCGGATATTAGACATATACTAAACAAATACTTTATGTGAAACGTTTTGCTTCATAAAAATACAAAATTTGTATACCTTATTGTGTTCCCTAATGATAAACTCGAGATAGGGAGCAGATAAAAACAAATGAACGGACAACCACACGCTCCGTCCAAGCCGGTGTGTGTGATTCTTCGCTTTTTTTGTCTGTTCTTAGTGTCGAGCTTATAATTACGAATTTAGTTGACTGGCTTGCGCGTGTTTTTTCTCTGTTGTCTTTATTATTTATTTTAGCGAGGGTGCATGCAAACGTCCTGTCTAATGTCTCCACCTTAAAAAAAATGTACAAGTGCAGTAAAAACGCAGAAACTTTGAGAACGTGGTAGCACTATTTAGCACGGACGAAAGGGGAGAACAAGACAAAACTGCGCACATTGTGTTGTCCTGTTCTCCCCTCTCGTTCGCGTCAAAAAGCGCTGCCATATTCTCAAAGTTTCAGCTCCAACTCGCCCAACAAGCAGAATTGATCAAGAATGCAAATCTTGTCTTTCCACTGGCCTGACACGACTGCGTGCTGGTGCATTGCTTATCCGGATTCAGACGGCCAGACATAGAATAAAGGCCAGAAATAAACCTCTGTTTCTGTAGCGCTAGCTTAATATATCAGTTTACGATACCTAATGAATGTTTTAAGAAACATCCACATTTATAAATAGTATTGACATTTGCAACTTTATTCGTTTCTCGATTTGTTAAAATGTTTACGTTTGTTAGATGTAATTTTGTTAAAGCTGTTGTTGTTAATTTGCGTATTTTTTATTTATTAATTTTTTTGCTTTAGTTAGAAGTCATACAAACAGCATCTTTGACTTGTATGACGAAGTTTATTCTCCTTAGCCATATCGGATGTAGGAGATAAAAGAGATGGAGATAAAAATAAAAAAAATAAAGAAGAGATGGAGATAAAAATGAATTTCTTTTAAAATACCATTTAAACACATCTTAATGAATAACATTATATTGATATTGAAAAAATAAAAAAAAAAACAATAAGCAGCCAATTTCCACTTTGGGTTTTTTCTATTGCAGGTAACACGATCTCGTTTTCTTGCCTAACTAGCAATATTTAAATACAAAAGAACGTACTGAGTCCGTTTGACGTTTTTTTTAGGCATAACGTTTTATGCTGACTGACTATCTCTGTTTTTAGACACAGAACTTATTAAATTAAAAAATATATATATATATATATTTTTTTTTTTTCTTCCTGACGAAGGCCGGATTCCGGCCGAAACGTCGAAGATTAAATCGTCCGTTGTTGCTGTTTTCACTAAGGGTTTTTTTCTTCTCAGTTTTATATATATATATATATATATATACCGGGTGTTTTTGCGAAGACTTTCAAAAATCCTAAAAATTAGGGCGATTTAAAAAAAAAAGAAACTCTCTTCGGGAACAAACTACCAGCCACGGCGGGCGTCAGATATATATATATATATAAGTGAATACTTAAAAAAAAGCACGGAGGTGTTTACCTTGTGAGGTCCGAGGTTGTAGACCAGGCAAGTGAGTGTGACGTCGTCCCCTTCCGCAGCTAGGGTTGTCGGGATTGGGGACAAGAACAGAGGCTGTCTGTTGGCGCACAAACCTGCGATGAGGAATACATCACACGTCACTCTACCAGGATCATATCTCATACCGGCCAGTAGGGATCGCATAAGTTTGAAAAGACGATAAACAAACAATAAACTCTGCAAGTTTGTCAGAAGGAGTATACTGCGCCAGAAAGAGAGATACAAAATGAGGCAGTGAGCACACAGATATTCAGGAAAAGCATTGACAAAATTTATGCAGGGTCCAGGAAGCCATCCTCGTTAATGTAAACGACGCAAAAAAACACACAAAAAAACACACCTCAGTGCATTGAACAGGTTAAGAAATTCCCAAGATGCGCAAAGACTGGCCGTTTGCGCGAAATACAGTAATACGCGTTTTCCAGAGAAAAAAAAAAACAGACATAAATTACTGACCTCATACTGTACCCTTTCATACTGTCTGGGAAGTTGGCAACAAAATGTATAAGGGTATGTAAGGGTAACTGCGTTTCTGGGCATTCCAGGACTTTATACACACCAAAGAGACCACTAAGCTTGTTTTTATTAAATGCATTCTAGGCGGGTTGCTCACTTAGTAGGTTCAAGCTTTCAGCTTTTCATAGTGATTATTATGCTTCCTGTTGGTACAACCGGCGTATATCTGTCGGTCTACTCGTTTGTCAGGTTGCTTGTACGCTAAGGCAGAGCATAACGCAATCATTATAGTGTCGTAGACTGCGTAAATTTCGCATCGTACGTCTGAAACAAACACACCTCAACATCCGCCACTGATATCATCAGGTTTAATGACGTCCCCATAACAAAAACTTACGTGGACGACCTTAACCGCTACATCGTTAGAAAGAAGAAAGTGACGAAGCCCTGAGCAAATATAAAATGTAAGTTATATTAATAAGATCACATACAGCTCAAGCAAGTGATTGCGACCATTCAAAACTGCTACGTCAGATACACCAAGGTAGCGCCAAACCCAGATCTTAAACAAGGCAACAACAACAACCACAAAAAAAAATAATAACCCGCATACTTGGAGTGAATCTACCGTTCCCATCCACGCACAGCAGACCCTGACTCACTTCGGTCGGCGCAGAGCCCGAGCTCAGCAGGCCGCCAGACGCTACTCTATCCAAACGGCGTATGTATTATACAGAACGGTGTGACGCGCTCCAAAGTCGGGAAAAGGGGAGGGGGGGGCAAGCTTTCCCCTCCAAAAACCTCCGGCGGTGCCGGGGAAAGAAGGTTAGGCTCATTACTGCATAAAACATGGCCCCCTCTCCCTCCTCCATCCCGCGAAGGCGGAGTTGTGCAAGAGTGCCCGAGGAACCTTAATTATGATCATCTCGGTGCAGCACCCGACTCTGGCTGGAAGCTCTCTGGCACTACTTGCCCGACAGGAGCGAGCTGCTCCGGTCCCGACAAACTTCCAGGCAGGGAACTCTGCTGCTGCGTGCTTCGGGGCCAGTGTCGTTACCGTGAATGTAGGTGGGCACTGATGAAACAATGTATTCGTGCGTGTGGGGTCAGGAGTGCCGTTCCGAATGTGCTGTTTCTTTCTTATAGTCCTGCGTACTTTCCTGCGTAAAATCCACTACACCTGGACAACGATGACCATTCCTATTTTTTTTTCTTTACTGGAAACTTGTTTGAGTGTTACATTGAAATGTAGGACTAGTACACCGAAAATAAATTTCGTCACTATGTGAAGTGGAATATCCCAAACCTAAGGTCCCTACATACTGACAAATAGAGCAAACCAATTTCCGAAACTGAAAAGAGAAAGTCCTCTTCTTATACGCCCTTTCTTTTTTAAAATTTGATTGTTTTCTTCTCCTCAATTGGATCGGGCTTGACACGTGACCGGAACCTTCCCATGAAACAGCGCGAATTCGTTGCCTGCTTCGAAACAACGCCACGAAGGAGCATCATATGACCTCTGCTCCGCCGTTTGCGGCGTGAACGCTTTTTTTTTTTTTTTTTGTTAGGCGGCTTTGGCGGCAACGCGATGCCAACTTGCTGTGCTGTGGGTTGCGAAACTAGTATTGCGGAACGGGAACAAAAGTATACATATTCATGTGAAGGGAAAGGGCTATAAACGGAAATGTTTGTATATCAGACTAGCTCTGAGCCCAGTACTGCGGCTGCTTGTCAGTGGCTTTTCTCTCATAATGTAACCGATATCACTTTGATACCAATTGAAGATCATGCAAACCCAAAATTACTGCGAATTTCAGTAAAACAAATTTACTTAGCTTCTCGATTTCGCTCACTTTGGAAAAAAAGGAACTTAATTTTAAACTTTCAAACAGAACTTCTACACCAGCCGTCTTGTCTACCGACCAAACGTACCTGCGCTCGATGGACGAGGGGTGTAAATAGCTGATAAATTGGAAAGCCGAATAGAGTATTATACACCTGCGCGCGCATATTCCTGTTTCCACCGTATCGTTCCATGTTTTCAAAAATGTATCACGTAAACAGAACCCTTTGTTTAGCGAAACAATCGGTAGCGCTAAAGATCACCTAAAAATCAAACGTTTAGAAGCATCATGGTGGCTTTTACCTTCCGAACCCGAGTAATTACAATTCCGCGAATAAACAATTTTTTTTTTATGTGTGTGTGTTTTTTTTTTTTCGTTCAAGAGTTAGTGTTCTTCATGATCTGCCAGCTGTCAGTACGTGTTGCAATAAACGGGTAAACACAACATATTTCTGCAGTACGTGTCGATGTCCCAAAATAATCTCTACATCATTGCTATTCGCTAAAGTCGTCCGCGTTTGTTTTATTTTGTCTTCGAACCTTAGAAACTCCAATTCTGCTCGTTAACCGTTCGATAAATCCTGCTGCACTTATGCATTGAAATAAAGGTGCAGAAATGATAGTTTTTCTGGGGTTTTGTTTACGTCGTAAAAAGAAAAAAAGTGTCGTCGTATTTCAAGAACAAACTTTTCCGAACCGCCGCATGGGAGTCCAAACGATTATGGGCCGGCCCGCTCAGGGGCGTCTAGGCGCGAGTTACAAGGTCATACTCCCTCATGGCGGCGGGACGGATGCAAGAAGCGTTGGGCGATGAGGATTCGCCTCAATGGAAAGGAGGAAACGGCGCGGGAGAGTAGATTCGTGCTACTTTTCAGTATATACGGACCTTACACAAACCGCATGAAAGAGACATTTTTATTTGCAATTACAACATATTTTATTTCAAATTTGGTTTTGGTTTGGGGTTCGCCTCTTACCTGCACAGTGATTCGACAGCGATTGATTCACAAGATGCATACAATTATTATTTAATGATAAATATAAGCGAAGAAACATAGCGGTTGTATCACTTTCTATGCTTAATACAGATTTCAAGGCTAATGACATAAAATATATGTAGCCATGTTTTACCAATCAGCGTCCTAATTTGTTTACAAACACTGGACAACGCTCACTTGATGAACGAAATTCATATATAAAAAAAACTAACTTCATAATTGCTGTTTGATGCGTTAATTGTAAGAGAGCATGGTGCAAAGATGTTCCAACGTAATTAATCCCAACATGTGACTTTAATCCAAAGAGCACCTCAAACTAAGAAAATAAATTCAAACAAAACCATCCACAAGAAACACGCACCATTCAAATTTCACAAATAAAATTTTGTCTTAAGATACTTTTTCTAATCGTTGTTGCCCCACCGGCCGCTGCTTTTTTAAAGAAAAATAAAAACAACGGTAATTATATCGTTTGTTGTGATTATAACATTTTCTGTAGTACATCGGGAGGACGACTCGATTCATAAACGCGGACGCTTTTTCAGCCTGATCACGTCGCATGATCGCCATGGTAATGAAATGGTTATCTGCTTGCTCGGGGATTTAAAAATCGAACGTGCGGAGAATTAGGACGCCTTTTCTAGGACTCCAGCAAACTCACTGGCGAACGGACATAACTTCAAGGACACGTAGCGCCAATTACATTTGCTCTGTCCGCTTCTCGGAAGAAACGTTTTATGATCGCAGGGAAAGAGCAAGAGATGTTTTGCCTTATTTATTTTTTAAGCCGCCGCGTTTAACAGCGCGTTTTGCCTGATTTCTTTCTCAATTTATGCGAAACAGCTTTGGCTCCTCGTTTTTAAAATTATCAAAGTAAAAAAAAAAAATACACACTCGTTTTAATATCATGATAGCTGAAAAAAAAGAGTCTAGCTTGCCAAAAAAAAAGAAAAGAAGCTGTTAAATATAAATGCAATTGGCAAAACTACCTACAATAAAATTGGGCGCGTAAAAATTAATTTTGCGATACGCTGTTTGACTGGCTATGTGTCAGTGTAAAAAAATGCCTATCAACAGACCCATTAAAAATTAGAACTTAGTGCACGCTATTGCAAATGTAAAGTGTCTAGAATATAAATTATTCTGTACACATTCACAAAACTAGAGATATTCATTAAAAAATTGTGTCTAGAATATGAACACTGCACGGAAGAGTTGACATGAACATGCTTTTTTATATTCTACGTTTGAACACATGACTTCTGCTGGGTTAGTGCCCCACGCACGCTAATTGCAGTATATTAGTAGTTTTGGTTACAACCTTTTAGCTATATAAGACCGATCAAACTGCACTTTTGTGTTCTTATTAACTGCTTTGTGCTCTCAGTTCTGTTCAATAATGCGTCTCAAAAGACGCAATAACGTTTGCATTAGTTCAATGTATGCTTACCTTCACCTTATGTTTTACTGCAAGGAAAATCACCAATATGACCTTCTTCCCTTTTGCACTGGTTAATTTTTTGTCTCCCTTTCTTTGCCTGCAAAACAAGTTAAATTCAACCGCCAGATCATCAACTGTGGACTTCATCAGCAATACTGCGCTCAAAGAATTTGATATCAGGCGCAAAACCCCTAAACCATAAATATTATTTGAAGTACCCAACATGGTCCGTACAATAACACTTAAATCAAAAGATTGTAAAATATTTCACGCATTTAATCTGCAAATCCGGCATACTGTAAACGTGTTGTTTATGAAGCCATCAAATCAAGTTTGCGATCTGTAGAAAGATAAAATAAGGATGTGCGGTGAGAATATTATATAC